AAGTGCTTTAAAAATGATGGCAACATTATCAAAAGGGCATAGGAGCCAACGTGAAGGGGCTTGCACTAGCTAAATGTGGAACAATTTGAGATTCAAAATAAACAATAGATTATAATCCATTGACTGGAAAACGATGAATTCATACTGGTATCAATAAATTGAAAATTTGGTTAGCAGGATATATACATAGCTTCAACTACATCCCCCCAAAAATACTTAAAAGAAAAAAACAGTAACTTTATAGTGGAGAAACCTGATAGGTAAACAAGTGATCAAAATGAACATCATCAGAAATGGGGCAAAATGAAATTGTGCACTACCTAACAGAATGCAGTGAGAACACACAGTTAGAATCTAATCATAAGGAAAACCGGTAAATCCAAATTTAAAGACATTTTGCAAAATAACTGGCCTATAATCTTACAAAAGTCGAGGGTAGCAGAAGTCAAGGAAAGGCTGAGGAACTGTTCCAGAGTGAAAGAAACAGATACTGCAACCTAAGGCAACATGTGATTTTGAACTGTATCTTTATACAACATTATTGGGACAATTAATGAAAATTGGATAGGGTCTGAAGGAGTAATATGTGTTAATTTCCTAATTTTGATGGTTGTATTATGGTTACATGGGAAAATTCTTTCTTTTTGGAAATATAAAAGTACTGTAGGGTGATAGGGCATCATGACAGCAACTTACTCTCAAAGCGGAAAAATTTTATTTGTACAGTATTTACAACCTTTCTTTAAGTCTGAGATTGTTTCAAAATTTTTTCTTTAAAAAGCAGAATGCAGAAAACTAATCAATAGATTATTCTTAAAGAGCTGCTAAAGTAATTCAATGATATATAACTCCAAAAACATAATTTTAATGATGATGAACTTTGTCCAATTCCTGTGTCCACCGTGAACATACAAGTTCTTCAAAAGTGTCTTAGTTTTATGTCATTAACTGACCCAGAAATTTTTCACGACTTTCACAATCTTATTTAAACACACATACACACACACAAACACACATTCTTCCTATTAGTTAGGACAGTGGTATGTTCATAGGTAGTGTTCAGTAGAAACTATATGAGTTCTATTTTTAAAATCAAACAAAAATGTAGGTATTATTATAAAAATAACTTCTCCCCCTTGTGGCAAAAAAGGAAAGTACATTTTACTGGGGACTCCTAATATAGAGGCACTTAGTATTACTCCTTATAAAGTATTTTCACATAATTTCATGTGAATCCTCTAAATAGTGCACAGCATTTGCAAACAATATACTCAGAGGTAGTTTCACAGTTCTCTTTAGGTCAGCACTGTCCAGATTCCGTTTAGATAATATTCTCTATAGCAAAAAGCTGCAGATTTGATAGAACTGCCATAACAAAATACCAGAGTTCAAAGGAACCAAATTTACCCACAGTATAAAAGATTAAAATGATAGGCAGGTAAAAAGTGATGGTCTCACTTAAAGGCACCTAATTATTTAAGATTACAGGGGCATCAAGAGGCTTCCTACCTCTCCAAGTTTAATCTAAAAAATTTGAAAGTCCACCAGTGGAGATTAATTCCTTGGAATTGGTTCCATTCAATCTTCAGACTTAAAAGAGTATTAGTATGAAGATACTCTGGAAGGGATAAGACATTTTCCTTCATTTAAGATTGCTAATAGTGAAAATAAAAGGAAGTCACTCATCTGAGCTCTAACTAAATGAAAGTTAACTTACTTATTGCAGATTCCCAGCCCTATTCTTAACCCTCCATACTTCTTCCTATTAAGTCACCAGTCACTGATAATTCTGTTTTACTGACCTTACCATGATTATAAAGTAACTTAAGTGGTTTTTCAAAGTAAACTTAATTCCAGTTTCAGACTTTTAAATTAAAAGTGGCTCAGTTGGATACTGTTTCTTCAACAGAGTAATATAAATATTAGTATCTTGGCTAAAATGAATTATTGACAATTTTAATACACGTTGCACAGTACATATTAATATAGAAAAATACATGTTATCAGCAGCATAATGTTGACCATGTTCTAATCCATTCCACCTGCTCAAATATTAGTGCAAATAATTATATATTTGTAATGCATCATTGATGTCTAGCACAAATCTATGCCTTCTGAATAAATGACTTTCCTCTCAGGTTGTTTGCTGTTTGGAGTATGATGTGATATATTCCCATATTTAAATTGGCTTTGTATGGTGAGGCAATCTGCAACCATCTAAAACACTTAGAAAATGAACAAGTATGGTTAATTACTTTTCCCTCCCCCTAAAAGTGATATCACAAGAACTGAAGTTTACTGTTACCACCCAAATAATAGTGTTGATGTACACAGGGCCAAGTTTAAAAAATATCAATCTTGTTAAGCCCAGGGTTATCAGCCTAACTGCTCCAAATCACCAATTAAAATTCTTACACTCTAATGTGTCAGGTTTCTCTCCCATATATACTTGAGGAGTTGTTTCTCCCCTAAATTTGGAAAGAAAAAGGATTGATCAGTGGTAAGAATAAAAGAGTTAAGGCAATTTTTAGAAGATTAAACATGCAATTTTTGATTACATGAAAATGGCTATCTATTGCTAATACACTGAGTACGTTTTCCCTCCAACATTAGTCATTTAAAAACTACCAAATGCATTAAATAATTAACAGAATTGGCAAACTTATGACATTAAAATAGTCTGTTTTTGAAGGCAGAAATACTGATTTCCTCATATTTTCCAAGCTAGAGTTGTCATTTACTTGTTATAAAATATGATACAAAATTATTAAGCAGACATAATACTATTATGTAAAGTAATACTCACTAAAGAGAACTTTTTGATAGAAAGATTTCTATTAAATACAAACTTAATATTAAATTAAAATTTCATGACCACTTATAAAATTTTAAAAACCAAATTTAAAAAGTATGATTACACACTGGGCACATTAAAAAAATCCAACAGTAAATTAGATACTGATCCTGTGTATCAACTTCATAGTCTAAACATTACAGTGAGAACCAAACATTGGATGAGAAGAGAATTAGATTAAGCAAAAACTAATGAGCCTACCAAAACAAAGGACCTATTTAAACAGGGAGACTGTACAGAACATAAACAGTGAGTGAGAAAGACTTAAGTTTCAATCTGAACCTTTTATTAGCTATAGACCTTGAGTAGGTCTACTTAACGTTTTTGTGGCTTAGATGTTTCATCTGTCAAATGAAGGTAACAGTACCCAACTCCTAAGGCTGCTTTGGAATCTAATGAGATCATGTATACAAATCAAATGATTAGCATAGTGCATGGGACTTGAGTAGATAAATGTAGCTGTAATTATTTCTATTATGCATCAAAATTTAAAAATTGCTGTTTTTACTTTAGGTAGAATTATTTACTCTAACAACATGGACTGGTCTTTTCCTCCAAAGTACACAATGTATTTTAGGACTGGGTTTCTCAAGCAGAGAGAAGTACTAAAGGAATTAAATATAGTTAAACTAATTGTATAAAAACATAAAGTGCTTTTGATGTCAAATTCTCCAAAAGAAATCAAGAATTCAGTACACTTCTAGGAAACATCTTACACTTCTGAGTCAATGAGTAATATATGGGTAATATGCAGCATAATTTCATATTAAAAACAATTAAATTCCCAGAGGTGAGCTTTTTAAGTCTACGACAAATTATGCACTGAGTGAACTTTGCTTATTCTCATAAAACAGTTGTTCAAGCATGCCTTAGCCACTACCTTATAAACATGACCACCTTAAAAGGTTTTGTGGCATTTCAGGAACCAAAATCTCTTTATCTGGATACTTGTAAATATTCACCATCACAGATGAAATAAAGGCATTTTAGGGAAGCAGTAAATTCTCCACTTTGAGTCAATCTGGTAATTCAATTATTTCACTGTAAGTCAGAAGGCTGCTATTCAGATAGTGAAATATTTAAAGTAAAAGAGGAAAGAAAATCATTTAAATATATCATAAGTTAACATACTTAGCTGCCCTTCTTTTAAAAAGGGAAGGTGAGGGGTGCCTGAGTGGCTCAGTCGTTGAGTGTCTGCCTTTGGCTCGGGTCATGATCCCAGGGTCCTGGGATCGAGGCCCACATCGGGCTCCCTGCTCCGCGGGAAGCCTGCTTCTCCCTCTCCCACTCCCCCTGCTTGTGTTCCCTCTCTCACTGTGTCTCTTTCTGTCAAATAAATAAAATCTAAAAAAAAAAAAAAAGGGAAGGTGCTAGGGACTTGCAACCATGGTGATGCTCAAAATGAGGCTAAGTACTTGTCTTGAAATAGTCAGATAGTCAACTATATCTAAAGATCCATCCAAGCATTATTTAATAATTCTTCATAAGGACTATTTATCTACTCTGGTTGACTGTCATTTTCAATATCATAACTTACATATGCTAGACTTCCTTCTTAAACTTGTGTTCTGCATTTCACTTTCTGTACCATTTTATGCAAACATAATATACTCAAGTTGAAGAAAAATAATTTGCAGGGTTTTGGAGCATATTTTCAACTTCAAAACATTACCTAAATATTGCCTGTTAGCTCATGTGGAACTACAGAAAACTGTAAAGATTCTCCTTATTCAGTGTTGGCTAAAGTTACTAATATACAAAGTTCCATTATTGCTACCTAAAATTTTACCATGTGCACATGAAAAACATCTTACTTATTGGTCATCTCTTTTGAGTCATAAATTGTGGGCAAAATTTTATAGTGGCCACAAATATACATACAAAATACTTTAAAAACTGGAATACAAAGAATGCAAGTAATGCATAGGGGTTTATACAACAAATTTTTTTTTCTTAGAGAAAGATAATCAGTTTAGGTTAAATTTCTAATCTTAGTTATAAAGTATTATTCTCCAAAAAAAAAAGGAAATGAGAAGACCTATGCTATAAAAAATAAAGAACATCTTGAAAACTTAAATAGAAATAATTTTTGAAATTAAGTACACATATCCTAAAGATGTAAAAATGGAGTGAAATAAAAAAACAATTGCAGGGAATTTGTTTATTAAACATTAATGTTAACACTTCTAAGTTAAGTATTCACTTAAGAGTTTTCTTTGTCACTGCCTTGGTCAATGGACATAATGGAAAATATTGCACAAAACTCAAGCATGGAAATAATAATTAACAAAATATCTAAGCAACATGTATATGCTTTACATTTTAAAAATTAGTCCAAACAAAATAATTTGAAGCACTTCTCTGATTTGGAAGTCTTAAAATGTTCTCTCATGTTTTATTTAAGATTTTTTTTCTTTTTTTTTTTTTTTTTTTTTTACAAATTGACACTGTGTACAAAGAGTTCAAATGGCCAGTAAAACTACTGCTTTAAAACTGTTGGCTTTCAGTAACAGAGGTATAATTTGAATTCACATCAGAGCTTTCTAAAATGGCAATAGTACAAGCATATGACTTTCTCTAGTATCCAAAATCTGTTCTGGCTTCCCTTGGCTAAGGAATAGAAAACTAGACAGCCTTCTAAAACTGCCACGATTTACTAAAATGCTTTGATAAAAGTTGGCATACTTCGTTTCTCTTCCTTACCTTGGTAACAACTGGGCTAAAGAGAAAATGAAGAATATTCTGTCAATAGTAATTTAAACAGTAGCTAGCGCTGGACTTGGAAATTTTGGTAAAATTGATGACCATTCAGAAACATAGTCTTAAAAGTAGTTTGCCAAAATTAGGCCAGAAAGGCTACAAGACTACATTAAAGGAAAAAAAATGCCAAGAATGAGCTGAACGTTAAAGTTTATCTGTTCCTAGAAGATTATAAACACCACAAAGGAAGCTGAAACATTACATATAGATAAGAATGAATTCTCGCAGAGCAAGTTTATAGAAACTGTAGAGTAATATATTGCCTTTCTAAATTTCCACTTGATGTTTAAAATTTTATAAGTGATTTATTATGTCACCATATTAAGCCAATTCAATTAACTCCAATCAGTAAGAACTGCTTCAGAAATGCCTTGAAAAAGATAATGACAGAAACTATAGATTTGCAAAGCAACCAGTTTTTACAAAGCTCATCTCCAGACTTAGAATATATAATGCTATCTATCAATTCCTGATTCCCCTTAAAATGTATTACTTATGTTTAGCCATCCCATCTTATTCCAGTTTAGCATTAAGAAAGAAAGCTTAAAGGACTGCATTGTTGCTAAACACTGTCAATATTTCTCATATTCATCGTTTAGACTAAACCTCATTTTACTTCCCTTATAATATTAAAATAATGAATAAATGTGGTCCTTTAGTTAAGGTCCTCCACCTTATCTTAAGTGAAATATAAAATAAGGTAGACTTATTAATTTCTTGCTAGCATTGGCTTAAAATCTGTTTACGAAATAAGAAATAGTAAACTTTTAAGTTTTTTTACCCAGAAAGCAGATGTATTTTGATCCACTCCTAATATCTACATGAAACATTTCATCATTTAGTTTATAACATTTTTCTTGGAAATTATTGTTGTACCTCAGGAAAAAATCCAATTAACTACAGAAATTATGCTCAATTATTAACCTTTTGAAAGAGGCAAAAGTTCTCTAGGAAAACCTAAAATAACTTGTTTAACAATTATCAAGTGCTGAAAAGGTCATTAAAAATTGGTAAATAATAAATGCAGTTTTGCTGGATTTTACCATTAATGCAAAATAGGACGGTGAAATTTTCCAACAGAATATGTTAAAGAATGTCAACTGGAACACTGATAACATCTCGTTTGTCTTCTGACACCAACATTTTCCAGGATGAAAACAGTGACATGTAGGTTCACAGAATTTGAAATTTAGAATTTGAAATTTGTAAGTTCAAGAATGGAATTAAAATTCAACTTAAGGGGAAAAAGCAAAATATGGCTAGTAGTGTCCAAATTTCAAATAAAATCTCAAGGGTAAGTATGGCTGCTGTTTCTCCAGTCATTTTTCCATAAAATGTTGGCTGTGTCACATTAAGAAATCTCCTGTGCTTTCCATCAACCAAGGCCTGCTAAAGTACAACACATTTCCCTTGTAAATTCAACCTCAGCTGAAATGTCGAGCAAGACGGGCAGATCTATAGTCAGCACGAAGTTGTACAAAGGAGTGAAGAATGTTCTTGTCCAGATTAGCAAGTTGTTCGCCTGAGCAGACTTGCTTTAAATTATCTGGGGCAACTACCAGAAGATTGCAAAGTGCATGCAGAGTATCAAAAAGCTGTAATACCAGTGGAATCTGAATTGAAATAAGAAAAAAAAATAACATTGTAACGAAACAATTTCTAGTTTTATAATTAGTTTCTCATTTATATACTATTTTCATTTATATACTATTAAGACTTACTAATGTGGGAGAGTTCAATATTAAAAATTGTAAAAGCTCCTGAAAGTGTCAAAACTCAAATATTTCAGACATTACATAAACTTGGTATAATCTTTTTGGGTGAAAAGGTCCATGTCAATTTCCTTCAATAGTAATAGTCATTTATACTTCTGTGGATTAGAATTAGTTACCATTAATTTAGCACTTTTCTTAAATTTAAGCCTTAAGGAAAAGGGATTTCAAGGAGATGTACATGAAGAAAGAACATATTTTTCCTGATGTGTGATATATACAGCATTAGTTATGAAAGTCAACAATGTCATTTGGACTGTCAAATTGAAATACGGCCTTGTCTAAAATACAGCACAGAACAAAAATGTGTTAAGACAGAAAATGTGATTAGAACAATACTTTTTCAGTTAAGAAATGTTAGATCTGTCTCACTATAATATCAGCAAGTTTTAAACTTTTCGGTAGTGATTATAAGTCAGCATGCATTTTTAATGGTCTGACTTATGTTCTTGAGCCTATTTACAAGTTTTATATTTGTGAATACATACCTTGAAGTCTTTGGCACACTTCCTATATTCAGCTACATCACAAATTGCTAACATGCCACCCATACAACTGTAGGAATATTGTTGAAGATGCTCATAAATAAGTCGATGAAAACGTACTCCAAGTTCCATCAAAACTGTATCCACATTCTTCCCATCCATGGAATTTTTAATCTTTTCCACTTGCTTTCTTACATAAGCACAGACTTTAACACAGGCCTGTAAAATTTTTTCTACACTTATTACATAGAAATGTGTATCAGTTTAGCTAAGGAGAAAATACATACAGTGTCTCATTAATTTCTAAGTATAAAAGAAAAAAACTTAGAGCACTGTAAGATACACCAATGAAAAAGTTAAGCATAGTAGGTATTACTAGTATACTGAATTATTTTACTCACATTAGTATACTGAATCAAAACATTGTTTTCATCCTCTGGCTTAAAATCTGTTTTCTTTTGTTCTGCAGCCAAGATATGCTTCATCTGTCCAATCATACAATTTAACGTCCTAGAGAATTAAGAACACCATATATTTGACCCATTTATTTTAAATTTACTTTAATTTATATTATTTATACTAAATTGAAATTATTTAATTTCAGAGCACCATAAAATTATTTACTATTGGTAGACTTTAGATTTTAGAAAAAATAAATTCTAGGTCTTGCTATCAATGAACTCTTGGTTTTATTAGCTTCCTGCTCTTGCCCAATACTTTATTTAAGGTAATCTTAAAGATCTTAGAAACCTGTCACTAACTTACTTCCTGTTACCATATACAGAGACTGATTAGGAAGAGGGGAAGATAGTGGGTTAAGACAAATGGCCGTTTGGAAGAATTAGTGAGATGAATAAGAGTTCCACAGTCTAAGGACAAGCAGGAAGCTGAACAAATGGTACTAAAGACTCAGTTGAGAAATGAGAACATGGGTTTGTAGTGGCACCAATAGTGTTCAAGTTATATGCTATTCTCCACCAGCAATCAGCCACCCAGTTATGGGAATAAAAGGGCCTGCACTGCTCCAAAACCTTGGATCTATAAGATAGTTAAGGTGAATGGAAACAGATTTTAGGGTAATTATAAGGGACTAATTTAAGAGATGGATCAAACAACCTAAGCATAATAATGAATAAAGAAAAGGATAGCAGACTGGCAAAAGATAAAAATATTAAGGGCTAGAGTTCCTGCTGAGGTCAGAAAGGTTATGGAACTGGAAGAACAGGAGGTTGTGAGCAATGAGTGGGATATTCAAGTTTAAGGTTTTTGTTATCAATGATAATGAGGTCTAGTAGGATATGAGAGTAGGTGGCTAAAGTGAAGATGATCAAGAAAATGAATGGGTCACACACATGGAAGTAGAAATAACCTAAGATTTAAGGTTAGAAGAAAAACTGTAAGCCAGATGCCCAAATCCTCAATAAATGTAGGAGACTAACATAAATGATTGAGAGATGACAGCAATAGGAAAAGATGTGAGTTTCAAAGGCAAAGGAGTTCTGACCTAACACCTATAGATGGATACTGGTCTGAAAATATCAGAGAAAAGATCAGGTGAATGCTCTGCTCACCTCTTGGCCCCATGGTACATGGGCAAAAAAATTAGAAGTTCACATTCATGAGGCCACTACAGAATATTGTGCTTTCAATTAATCAACTAGTGCAAAGACTCTGTGATTAAGGCCTATACAGAAGGACATTAAGAAGACACCAAGGAAATACATCTTTCTATTTCTCTGAAAGTTTAACATATCCAACCTCCCTATGTCCCAAATATGATTTTCAGGTATGATTCTGAGGTAAAGAGGAAACAAATTAAATTAATATGAGGGATTTAGGTTAGGAAAATACATACTTCTTGAAGTGATGATTATAATGTGTACAATATATCATACACATAATTATAATAAATGAAGTTATATATGGTTCTCATATGGTCCTGACTAAAAACAAAAGGGAGAGACCACTTTTAGGATTATTCTAAGCATATAATTCAGTAAATTAGTCTCAGTAATTAATTTTATAACATCCTATTTTTCCTAGTTTTATTCTTCAATTTTATTTTTCTTACCTTGATTATCATATACTCAATGGTAATTCTGGATCTTAGTGAGAAGATAATTGGGAGGTAAGCTGCAAGTTTGATACTGATAAAGTAAAAATTACTGAATTTTTTGTAAATTAGAGTAGATTCCAGGCTATCCTTATACAGCACTGAAACTAACTTGCATTCAAATATGCTTTCTTAAACAGAAGAGAAAGGAACAGAATTACAGTAAGTGAAAAAGATATGCCCAAATCTAGTAGCATGGGCTTTAGAATTTGAGTTCCAGCTCTACCACCATTAACTGTGTTATCTTATTAGCACATTACGTAATTTCTTTAAGCCTCCATTTCCTCATGTGTAGAACAGAAATAGTATTTCCTACCTAATAAATAAAATAATACAGGTAAAGGTCCTTGCACTGTGCCCAGCACACACCAAATGCTTGATAAGTGGTAACTATCATCATCATCAATATATGCCCACCACATCATCTCAAGAAAAGAGACCCACTGCTCTATGCTATGAACAGGTAATTAACTACAAAAAGTTATAAAAATTTTTGAATGCAGTCTATATTCACTTAATGAAATTCACTTACAGAAAACAAGTATATTTATTTAAAGCATTTCAGATAAAAGCCTAAAAATTCAAATGAAAATAAAATCCTCTATGTTACATACCATTTTTAAGGAGTCTGGAGAGAGAGAGGGAAAGGAAGAGGAGGAGGAGGAGAAAGTGGTGGCCTACAAAACCGGTTTTTCAATTGAATCTAGTTTAAAAGCATACCTAAACATACTGGAAACCTTTTCATGCTGCATTTATAATGGTGTTTTTACAATTTAAAAAATATGAGAGAAAAGGAGGGGCGACTGGCTGGCTCAGTCAGTAGAGAGTGTGACTCTTGGTATCAGGGTTGTGAGTCTGAGTCCCATGTTGGCTGTGGACTTTAAAATAAAATCTTTAGGGACGCCGGGGTGGCTCACTCGGTTGGGTGTGGGCCTTTGGCTCGGGTCATGATCCCAGGGTCCTGGGATCGAGCCCCGCATTGGGCTCCCTGCTCCGCAGGAAGCCTGCTTCTCCCTCTCCCTCTGCCCACTGCTCTGCCTACTTGTCCTCTCTCTCTGTCAAATAAATAAATAAATCTTTTTAAAAAAATAAAAAATAAATTAAAAAATAAATAAATAAAGTAAAATCTTTAAAGGAGTGCCTGGGTGGTTCAGTTGGTTATACATCCGACTCTTGATTTAGGCTCAGATCATGATCTCAGAGTCATAAGACTAAGCCCTGTGTCTGGCTCTGTGCTGAGCATGGAGTCTGCTTGAGATTCTCTCCCTCCCTCTGCCCCTTCCCCCAATGCTCTTTCTCTCCAAAATAAATAAATAAATCTTAAAAAAAATCTTCAAAAGTAAATAAACATAAAGAATATAAGAGAAAAGGTAAAACTAACAACTTGCCTATCAATGCCAGTATCCAATTTCATCTCCATTTGTTCAATTATTTCTTTTTTCTTCTGAAGGCATTCAGATAACTTGGGAGAAGAGCTATTGAATGTTTAAAGGGAAAAAAAAATCACATTAGTAGCCTTGGAGAAGTTTTTCATATGCACATGTGTACTGTTATAAACATTTATACATACACATATATCATTTTAATTTGCTCACAAATCCAAGAAGCACATAAGTAGTTATTACTACGCCCAATTCAATACTAGGAAATTATGTAGTATTACTATGCCTAATAGTCACACTAGGAAAAATTAACCAGTTAAACGAGAAGGAAGAGGAAGATTTAGATTTGTTACTTTCATCTAAGAGAAGATATCCCTTAAGAATATAAATATATGTGCTTTTGCAATTTTGGGATTATTTGGTTTCCTTTTTAATTAGATATCTGTATTAACAGTAAAACAAAAACAAACACCAAAGGATATCACCAGAGTCTTAAGAATATAATAAATTACACTAATTAAAATTTGGAGACTAATAGCCAATCCAGCTGTATCTAGATTTCCTATATTATAAAAACAAATTTGACAATCATATTTGCCTTCTGAATGCCATCTCAATGTCAAAAACACCTAAACTATTAAGGAATCTGCAACCCTAATAGTTATGTGAATTCTGTGCTGTGTGGCATTACAGCTCTTAAAATAGTACATTTCCTTTTAAAGTGTGATTCAGGGATCACAAGTGATCTTTGAGATTGTTTTTGAATTAATTTCTTGGCATATCAATGTGTACAATAAAATGTTTAAAATTTTATCTTTTATTTTTCCTTTTTAAAAAATATTTTTCCTTTTTAATAACAGTACACATACAATTTTATAAGGCATGTTTACGTATATTCTACCTTATTTATTAATCCTCACATACTTTAAAAGTTCACATAAATTGAGATATAAACCAAACCTTATTTAATGCCTTATTAAAATCTGTCCTCTTAATCTTATAAAATTTTTGTTGCATATCTTTATACATAGAACATTATAACAGTCACTGAAATGCCAACAAAAATCAATTTGACTAACCTTATTAGTGGCATAAGGTGATCATTAAACTGCTTGTCAAAAAGATGAAAAATAGTATTGGCCTGTTGCACAACATCCAAAAAATAGAGATTTGCATTCCTAGAATCTGAAGAAGGAATTCCTAAAATTGGAAGGCATGTACATATTAGAATCATACTTGAAGAAATTCATCTTGGCAACAGAAAAAAGAACACGGTATCATGAATAAAAGTAACTGCTATTTTAATACGTTAGCAATGATTTTTGTGGACAGAAGAGTAAAATTAAGTTTAATAACTTAATAAAATGAATCTAAAATTTTTACATGAAAATTTTCACCATCTACTCAGACTTCATTTGCTGAGATAAACCAAAAAATAAATCAATAAATGAATCATCTTGGACTATATCTTCTTTCCTTTCCCACTCTCATGCCCAGTGGTTCCACATGAGCCATGCATACACTTCCACCATTTTTCTTATAACAAGGCCTCATTATCTCCAGTAATAGTTAAAATAATTTTTTATTAGTTTCCTGGGTTCAAATCACTTTATCTTTTCTGCTATATATTGTTGCCAGAGTAACATACTTAAACTTATACATTTCACTCATCTTGCTCTCCATTATTACCTCAAAAATATTCAAAGTCTCCTCACTCTCTAAAATTCATGGCATTCAAGCGACTCAACATGCTCACTCCAAAAAAGAGAGCTGACCTCTCCAGACTTCAGTTTCCTCTTTTTTGTAGAAGAGCAGTAGACAAACTCTAAGATCCATTCTAACCTTAGATGTTTGTGTTTCTAGCTAAAATTAAAAGGCATAATGGGCTAGGGAAAATATTCACATATGAGAAAATAAAATTAATACCCAGAATTCTTTATAGGATGATGATTTTTTTCAGTTTTAAAAATGAAAGCAAAGGTGTTTCATTTTCCCATAAAAGACAAAATCACCAACTGGTAAGAAAATTAAAAGCTCCAACACAAACTTACAAGAGAAAAAAATAAAGTCAATGCACATGTGGAAAATCCTTACTATTAATCAAAGTTATTAAAATTAAGGTAATATTTATGTATATTTTTAACCACTAAAGTTTTTAAAAGAATATTCAACGTCATGCAGGAGAACTGGTATATGCAACAGCACTGTAAATTAGTGCAAAAAACCCTTTTGGAAAAGGCTTTAGGTATAGAAATTTTAAAAATTGGTAACACACTTTGTGTGGGTTTTTTTTGTTTTTTTGTTTTTTTTTAAAGTAAACTCTAGCCCCACTATGGGGCTTGAACTCAACCTAGAGATCAAGAGTCAACATGCTCTACCAACCGAGCCAGGCAGGTGTCTCTGGTAACATACTTTGCTCTGCTAACTTCACCTCTGAGATTTCATACAGAGAAAATAATTCAAAATAAGGAAAACACTTTAAGCTCTACAATGTTCACTGCAGCATTATTTATATTACTAAACTGCTGAAAAAAACCCAGTATGTCTAGTAAGAGGAGATAGTTAACTTTATTTAACTTTATAATATATACGCATGACAAAATTTTATACTATCATTAGAAATAATAGCAGTAAGTGCTAACTGAATGGCTGCAAGGAAGAAAATTTATGAATTATAAGAGACATTTTCATCCTACCAGTAAATTTTCTAAGTCCTTCCAAATTGTGAATACAGCTACTAAAATGAAGATGCTAGATTTCCATATGAGCTAAATAATAAATCCTTCATACCATATGGACTCAAATTCTTGTTACTTTTTCTCATTATCTTCTTTAATCTTCTTAATATCTTTGAGGTATTATTATCCCAATACAAATTGCCACATTTAGTCATTTGCAAATGGCAAATGTTAAATACCTGATGTCAAGAGTCTGCTGTAATTGGGATGCCTGGCTGGCTCAGTCAGAAGAGCATGCGACTCTTGATCTTGGGGTCATGAGTTTAAGCCCCACACTGGGTATTGAGATTACTTAAGAAAATAAATTAATAAACTTTAAAAAACAAAGAGTCTACTGTAATTAAGTTTAAAAAAAAGCAGGATACAAATGCTTATCTACAATCATGACAGCAAATTAAAAAATGGGTAAGAATAAATCACAAGTTTACTGAATTATGGGTAATTTTGCTTCAGTGTTAAAAAACTAAAAAGTGATGTGATAGACAGTCAATAAACATTTTTGAGCATCTGCTATGTGCTTTCTAAATACTAGATAATAATGATGAATAAGACAGTTAAGATTCCTAGCCACAAGAGTATATATGCTGTTCTCTTAAAATACTCTTTCTCCAAATACTCCATTTACTCTTTCACTCCATTCAGCTCTCTAGTTCCTCTATCCCCTCAGAGAGGCATTCTCTAAAAAAAGTCCTCTGCTCCTGAATTCCCCATCCTACCTCCCCAACACTTCTCACAATCTTACTCAATTTTATTTTTCTTCATTGCACTTTCTAGTCATTTGTCTATCTTATCCCTAGGAATGAAAGCTCCGTGAGTGCAGGAGTAGGCATTTAAAAGGTATGTGAATGAATTCTGATAAGTGGAGGCAGACATTTACAGATGAAAATTTCACTGTGCTAAGTGCTATGAAAAACATTAATTCAGTGATGAAATAATGAATAACTAGGCTGGGAGAAGAGGGCTATCTTAGAGTAATCCACAAAAGCCTCTTTAAGAAGGTGACATCTTAGTTAACTGAGATCAGAGGTTGAAAAGAAAGGCATGAGAAGTGCTAAAGGAAAAGGGATTGGGGGATGGGGGAAAGCCTGAGTGAGGAAAAAAAAAGAATGAAGGCCAGAGTGGCTGATGGCTAAGGTAGTGAGAGGAAGTACAATATGAGAAGTGGATGAATACTAACAGGAAGACAGATCAAAAGCCATGCTTTTGTAAAGTTTGTTATTGTTTTTCCCCTAAAATTAATAGGAAGTCCCTAAAGGGTCTTAAACAAGGAAATGATAATCAAACTGTTATGTGGAGTCAGTAGTGGAGAGGTGAGAATGTATACAGAAAGGCCAGTAAGGAATGGATAAAGATGATGGTACTTAAATTAGGGTGGCGTTAGTAGAGCTTGAGAAAAGTAGATGAATTTGAGTTATGTTTGGAAGTATAGGATTTGCTGACAGACCAGCTATCCGGTTTGATGAAAAGGAAGAAATAAGGCAACTCCTATGTTTGGGGCCTGAGCAACTAGTAAATAGTAATGCCTTTTTTTTTAAATTTTTTATTGTTATGTTAATCACCATATATTACATAATTTGTTTTGGTGTACTGTTCCATGATTCATTGTTTGTTTATGACACCCAGTGCTCCACGCAGAATGTGCCCTCCTCAATACCCATCACCAGGCTAACCCATCCCCCCACCCTCCTCCCCTCCAGAAACCTCAGTTTGTTTTTCAGAGTCCATCATCTCTCCTGGTTCGTCTCCCTCTCTGACTTACTCCCCTTCATTCTTCCTCTCCTGCTATCTTCTTCTTTTTCTTTTTTCTTAAAATATATTGTGTTATTTGTTTCAGAAGTACAGATCTGTGATTCAACAGTCTTACACAATTCACAGTGCTCACCGTAGTAATGCCTTTTAAGGACATGGGGAAGAATGGGAGTGGAACAAGTTTAAATGGAAGATAAAGAGTTTCAGTGGGGATTATGTTAAATTTGAGATGCACACTGAACAGGTGGAAAGTTCAAGGAGGGAACTACATTAATTCGGCTGGAATTTAGGGAAGAAATCATTATTAACCTATTAATACCAGTAAACCTGAAAGACCAAAAGCAAAAGAAGAATTTTAATATGAATCTATTCCTTTCCAGGCTTATTTTGGAATATTTTCCTTTCTAAACTTTACATTACTCAACTGCTTCAACCAGAATTGCTGTCACCTTCAGTTCTGCTCCTTTGACATTTTATAACTTATAGCATTGTACCACATTCTGCCATACACTGTAGTGACTTATGTAGCTTGCCCTGCCCTGCCTGATGTAATAAGCAATATGAGAGAACTGTCTCTTTGTGTAACTTTCTGCACCTGACAAACTCTTGCATTACAGATGCTCAAAAAGCATTATTCATTGCATTGAACTGAATTTGACATAAAGAGTTGAATATATACAAAACATTATGCATATAGTTAATCAAGCATGATCAAAGGAATTTAACGCAAAATATAACACAAATATACTTACCAGCAAGTCCTGTTTCCAAAGCATAATCAATATGCTCAATACATAAAAATTCCACAAGAATGGTAAAAATTCTAAAGGCATTCCTTGGTAAATCAGAAGGATCAGAGAGCTTTAAAAACAAAAACCAAATACATTACTCCTAAAGTCTATCTTTAAAAAAATGGCTTTTTTCTTTTTTTTTTTTTTTTTTAAGCAGTCAACTTTGTATACGATGTACCCAGTATTCAGGTATCAAAATGATAACTTATGCCTCTTCCTCTCCACCCCCAAAGCCTCTCTCACATACACATATAGTTACAATGCTCCATATTTATCTACAATTCTCCTGGCTTAGACTAGATCAATATTTTTCTCACCTGGATTGCAATCCATTAGTGGATTGCGACAAGAAAGAGGGAAGAGAAAAGACAATAAATAGGAAATAAAGTATAATGTACATGTTAAAACCACATATAGTTTTATGAAATACACATACACACAAAAACATCATACACATACACATACATATAACAAATATCCACTGGACTGCTACGTAAAATCCATTTCTTATAGGTTGTGGTCAAAGAAGTTTCAGAGCCACCAACTTTAAGAAAAGCTATTTTAGCAAAACTCAGAATAAAAAGGATTCTCTATTCTTCTGGGGGGTGGGAATGGGGAAATCGGTAACAAATGCACTATAAAATATGACAGGCTCAAATCCCAGCTTTATCACTTCCTCTTTGAGTAAACCCTTAAGATATTATTTAACCCCACCAGGCCTCAATTTCTTTATCTGTAAGGCGGGAATAATATTAACAGTACTTACATCCTAGTTCTGAGGTGAGAATAAAATATAAAAATGCACATAAAATATTTTTAGCACAATGTATGGCACACAGTAAACTTACAATAAAAAATGTTCATTTTGCTGTTGATATGGCTGATGATTAACTACTCAGAAGAATTATTAGTAATTATGGTGAGAAAATGAAATCTCTCTTTAAAAAGTTAGAAAACTACCTCTCAACATCTTATAACTGCTTCCTGTATTATTTATCAACTGATTGTTGCCTCTTTTAGTCTATTCATTTACCTTTCTCAGACTAATGCTTATTATCTGATATAAAGAGCTGGGAGCTGAAGTGCATAACCCCTTTAAAAACCCTATTATAAATACTGATTTGGTATTACTCAATTCCCTTCCTGATCTTCTTAATACCACCTCAAAGTTTACTCTTCACTAGTCACTCTACCACAACCTTCACCTCCCTTCTTTGCTCACTGATGCTCAAAAGATGCCCTTAACAAGCAATAAAGAATAAACTTTTCACCCTTCTCCTGTTTACATTCATATATCCATGCTTAATTGATAGAAGAGGTAGACAGAAAACTGATAGGCAGACAGAAGATGTAAACAACCCTGTCAATCAACTGGACCTGACATTTATAGAATACTCCATCTAACAACATCAGGATATACACTTTTTTCAAGTATACACAAAACATTTACAAAGATGGATCACATCCTGGACTAAAACAAGTCTCAACAAATTTAAAACAGATTCACATCATACAAAGTATGTCCTCTAACCACAACAGGATCAAATTTGAATCAATAACAGAAAGAACTAAAAAATACCCCAATATCTGACAACTAAAACACTTCTAAATCACTCTTGGGCCAAAAGAAATCAAAAGGGAAATTTAAAAGTATTTTGAACTGAATGAAAATAAATACAACATATCAAAATTTGTGGCTAAAGCTTACCTTAGAGGGAAATTTATAAGACTAAATATTTTAATTAGAGAAGAAGAACGGTCTCAAATCAATGACCTCAGTTCCCACCTTACAAAACTAAACAAAGGAGGGCAAATGAAACCCAACTAAGCAGCAGAAAAGTAATAAAGAGTGGAAACTGATGAAACACAAAAGAATAGAGAAAAATCAATGATACCAAAAGCTGATTCTTTGGGAAAATCAATAAAACTGATAAACCTCTAGCCAGACTGATCAGGGAAAAAATATACAAATTACTGATACCAAGAATGAAAATGTGACATCACTATAGATTCTACAGATATTAAAAGAATAAGGAAATATCATGAACAACTAAATCCCAATAAATTCAAACATTTATGTGAAATATACAAATCCTTAAAGACATGAACTACCAAAGCTCAATTAAAAAGAAATAGGTACCTTAAATAGTTCTAAATCTATTAAAGAAGTTGGATTTGTAGTTAAAAAGCCTCACAACAACACTGCAGGCCCAAATTACTTCACTGGTAAATTCAAGCAAACATTTAAGGAAGAAATAATATCAATTTTACACAAACTCTTCCAGAAAATTAAACAGGAAGAAATATTTTCCAACTCATTCTACAAGGCCAACATTACCCTGATAACGAAAACTAGACAAAGACATTGTGTGAAAAAAATATAGGTTTAAGTCAATATCCCTCATGAACACAAACACAAAAATTCTAAACAAAAGTTCAGCAAACCTAATCCAACAAAATATACACAGGATAATACCTGATAACCAAGGGGGGTTTATCAAAGGAATGCAAGGTTAACATTTGGAAATCAATGTAACTCAGCATATTAACATAATAAAAAGAAAGCATTTGACAAAATCCAACACCTAATCTTATAAAAACTCAGAAAACTAAAAATAAAAGCATTTCCCCAATCTGATAAGGAGCATCTGTGAAAAATCTGTAATTAATATCATACTTAATGGTGAAAGACTCAATGCTTTATTCTTAAGATCAAGAATAATACAAGGTGTTTGCTCTCACCACTTCCACTCATCATTGTACTGGAGGTTCTGAGCAATGCAATAATGCAAGAGAATAAAACGATAGGTTTCTATACTAGAAAGGAATAAGTAAAACTGACTTATTGGCAGACAACATGATAGACTATTTAGAAAACCCTGTGGAATCTACAAAAAAAAAAAGCTACTACAACTAATAAGTTTGGTTAGGTTGCAGGTTTAAAGTCAACATATAAAAATCAACTGTTCTTCTATATACTAACAACAGAGTATCAAAAATATAAATTAAAAAATACCACTTGCATTACATTAAAATAGCACAAAAAATATTAAATACTCAGGGATAAACCTTGTGTGCTAAAAAATTACAAAACTCTGGTAAGGAAAATTAAAGAAAACTTAAATAAATGGACAGATACACTTTATTCAAAGACTGAAAACTCAATATTATTAAGTCACTTCCCCACAAACAGAACTATAGATTCAATGCAATCAAAATCCCAAACTTTTTTTCCCCAGAGACTGACAAACTGGTTATAAGACATATGAGGATGCAAAATAATTTATATAAAAATATTAGGGGACTGACACTACCTAATTCAAGACTTAATAATTACAATGATCAAGACAGTGTAGTATTGGCACAAAGACAAATAGGTCAATGCAACAGAATAGAGTCCAGAAACAGATCCACATATAAATTGTTAAGCAGTTTTTGACAAAGGTTCCAAAGTAATTTAGTGGAGAAAGGATAGTCTTTCCAATAAATAACACTTAAACAACTGGATACTTAAATGCAAAAAACTGAACTTTGATCCATATATCATAGGACATGTATAAATTAACTCAAAACTGATTATAGACCTAAATGTAAAACTAAAACCCTAATAAGATATCACTACACACCATTAGGCTGTCTAAAATTAAAAGGACTGATCATGGGGCGCCTGGGTGGCTCAGTTGTTAAGCGTCTGCCTTTGGCTCAGGTCATGATCCCAAGGTCCTGGGATCGAGTCCCGCATTGGGCTCCCTGCTCCGCAGGAGGCCTGCTTCTCCCTCTCCCACTCCCCCTACTTGTGTTCCCTCTCTCGCTGTGTCTCTGTCAAATAAATAAATAAAATCTTAAAAAAAAAAAGGATTGATCATACCAAATGTTGGAGATCATGGGGAGCAAATGAAACTTACACATTGCTGGAGGGAATGTCAAATGAAACAACCTTGGAAAATAGTTTGGCAGTTTCTTTAAAAAGAAATACCATATGAATCAGCCATATTGCTACTAAGCATATACCCAAGAGAAATGAAAGCATATGTCTGCATAAAGACATATACATGAATGTTCACAGCAACTTCATTCATAATAGTCAAACACTGAAATCAATCTAAATGTCTATCAGTAGTTAAGCAGATATACTGTGGTATATTCACACAAGGAAATACTACTCTGCAATAGAAAAGGAGCATACTAATACACTCAACAACATGGATGAATTTCTAAATAATCATGCTGAGTGAAAGAAGCCAGAAACACATGTACATATTATAACATACCATACACTATTTATAAAAAATTCTAGAAAATTAATGAACCTCTTAAAGACATCCTATTTAGCTTTCAAGACTCAGTCCTCAAATGTTGCCTTCTTTTTGAAAACAAATCTATAGTGACATAAAGCTGATCAGTGGTTCTCTGAGGATAGAAGTGAAGGGAGAGGAAAGGGGGATTATAAAAGGACAAAAGGAAACTTTTTGAGGTGATGGGTCAGTTCATTATCCTGACTGAAGTTATAGTTTCAGAAATGTAGACATAACTTATCAAAGTTATGAAATTGTGCAGTTTAAATATATGCAGTTTACGGAATGTCAAAAGTATCTCAAAGTTATTTTTTTAAAAAGGAAAAAAAGTACCAATCTGCTCATTACACTGCCCTTTTTAAATAATCCTTTAAAGTTTGCATCATCATCTTACAAGGTCAAGTCTAAATTTCTAACCATGGTGTACAAAGAGTTTCTGTTTACCTTTGCAATTTCCTTTCTCATTACTCTCCCATGTACATTTTTATTTCAAGCATTTTATGCTGCACATCTGATCTTTGTATATTACTTTTTACATGTACTATTCTCTGCAAGAAATCACATTCTTGAAGATATCCTATGTAGCTTTAAGACTCAGGTTTAAAAAGTCCCCTTCTTTTTGAAACCTTTTCAAATAAATACTCTTCCTCAATTCTTTAACCAGGCAGAGCTGGTTGCACTGTCTTTGGTCCCAGCAGGGTATACCTATTTTGTACTATAAGTTTATATGTCTACCTCCTTTCTCCACACTATTCAAAAGTAATATATATGTCTTATTTTTATATTCTCAGTGCCTAACATAGCAGCTGGTACAAAGTAAACACATGTTTCTTGGATCAGATTGTGAACTTCAACTGAATTTCTATCTTGTAACTTTCCAGACAAAAGGTCAGGACACTGAGCTAGTTACTATGATTCAAACAACATAATGTTGACAGCTTCAGGTTCAACGATCTTTAGAAATATTTTAACATATTTCCAGCATTCAGAAAACTAGAGATAATAATTTACCAAATATACCCATCACCCACCCACATGTGTCATATCTTTTTTTTTTTTTTTTTAAGATTTTATTTATCCATTTGACAGAGAGAGACACAGCAAGAGAGGGAACACAAGCAGGGGGAGTGGGAGAGGGAGAAGCAGGCTTCCTGCAGAGCAGGGAGCCCGATGCGGGGCTCGATCCCAGGACCCTGGGATCATGACCTGAGCCAAAGGCAGACGCTTAACGACTGAGCCACCCAGGCGCCCCCAAATGTGTCATATCTTAACATCTTTTCCAAATGTACTTTAGATTTTTTCTTTTGGGGGGGTAAGGGGAGTCCTACATATGGATAAAGTCCCTTAGGTACTCCTCCGTCAATGGCAAACACTACCCTGAATCTATCATGCTCATGCTTGTGCATATCCCTAAACAATATAAGGGTATTCTTCTACTTTTTAAAACTTTATCTAGTGGTATTATACTGAATATATCTTTTCCCCATCTTGTTCTTTTCACTCAACACTGTATTTTTGAGATTTTTTTTGTTGATACATGTTGATACTCTAGTCATTTAAATTGTTGTACAGTTTTCTAGTGTATGAACAATGTCAATTTATCAATTCTCTTTTCGAGGCACACTTAATTTGTTTCTAATTTTTCACCATGATAAACAATGCTGCTATGATGTTAGACATGGCATGTAGACCTATGAGTTTCTCTAATGAATTCCAAGTTACTATCCAAAGTAACTATACACCAATTTTTACTTCCATTGGTAGTGTAGGAAAATTTATATTGCTCCACATCCTTACTATCATCAGACTTAATTTTTGCAGACTGAGACAGTATTTTCCCGTTTTAAGTTTCATTTTCCTATTAGTGAGACTGAGTATCTTATTGGTAATTTACATTTTCTGTTATTTGTTTACATGTTTAGTGGTCGAGCCAGGTTTTGAGTCCACCTCTGGCTGACTCCAGAGACCTCACTCTTGGCTATCACATATAATGAAGTCAGATGACAGTTTATTTACTGAGAACCCACTATGTGTGTTTATTAGTCTTTGTTTTCTATTGATTTATATTTATATGTATAATTTATACTGATTTACTGTCTATCAATATAAAATAGACATATATATCAATACAAATAAAAAAATTAAGACTGCCTCAACTCTCAGTTCTACTGCTTAAGAAGTATGTATCTCAGTTTCTTCATCTGTAAAATGGAATAAAAACCTCACAAGGTTGTTACAATGATTAAATGAGCTGATGTATATCTAAAGTGCTTTGGAACATAGTAAATGCTATACAATTATTTGCCACTATTATTTGTTTTACATAATCTTCTGCTAGTAATATTGGTTACAAATATCTTCTTGCAGACTGTGACTTAGCTGTTTCCTTTGTTAAAGTGTGTTTGGTGGAAAGAAATTCTAAATTTTAATGGAGTCAACTTTTCCTTTGATATCTGGGTTCTTAAGACATCCTTCTTTCCCTAATGCTCTATTTCTTTATGAGATGGCTTTAAACCTCCCTTTCATATCTTGATTTAATATATCATACAGAAGAAAAATTTGGTATGTTCAACTTTTGAAATTATATTAAAATACACTTTTAAATCTGTTCTCCAAAACAAAACCTCTATCATTTTTTATTACAAAAAATAGTTGTTCCTAACCAGAGAGCAGATTTATATCTTACTATAAACAAGGCAAAGATTAAAAAACACAACCATTTAAATAAAATAAATTTATAACTACTCTTACCCTATGACATCTTTCAAAGGCTTGTTTGGTTTCTTGTAAAAGATTAACCACCACTTCTTGAGATAGGAAAGTTTCCCCATGAGTATCGATACTTGGCCCCAGTGGTAAGTTGGTACGTTGTCTAATTCTCTCTTTCAAATCCTGAATACTAATGCATCATAACAACAAATGAAAAGAGAACACTTTACTATACACACATTTCAATTTCAAGTAGTCTTCAACTTAGTATATATCAACAGAGAAAAATGGACTAATTGCCAGACCTAAAGGTTCTAATTCCAATAATTAGTTCTGTAAAGTGAAATAAGCTTTAATCTCTAAACATAAGATTTTCAACTGAAAAATGAGTATATTTGGAGTTGTGACCTTTAAAGTCTCTTTCAGCTCTATAATTCTGACTCAGTAGCCAAAAATTTCTTGTTTGGTTTCCTTATGAAGTGGACTATTCCAAATAAGTTAATATAACTAAATGGTCCTGCTTAAAATAAACTTTAAAAATTTAGTGCTTTTTAAATATATTTAACCAGTTGAGCATACTGCACATTTCTTTATCATTATTAAACAAGATATATTAAACATAATTTAGCTTTTCTTAATGACTGAGGGTTACTCTGAACATTTATTTTATGGTGGTATCTTTAAAAGGTTGGATTTCTTTTGCTCCTAGAATACCTAGCTCTAGACCACTATGAACTTTTTTTTTTTTTTAAGATTCTATTTTTGGGGTACCCGGGTGGCTCAGTTGGTTAAGCATCTGCCTTCAGCTCAGGTCATGATCCCGGAGTCCCGGGATCAAGCCCCACACCAGGATCCCTGCTCAGTGGGGAGCCTGCTTCTCCCTCCTCCCTCTGATCCTCTCCCTGCTCATGCTCTCTCTCATTCTCTTGCTCTCAAATAAACAAATAAAATCTTTAAAGATTTTATTTTTTTTAATTAATCTCTACCCCAACATGGGGCTCGAACTTACAATCCTGACATCAAGAATTGCATACTCCACTGACTGAGCCACCCACACACCCCAACTTTTTTTTTTTTTAATTCTCATGATTGTTCTTTAGTTTTTCTCTTCCCTTACTTGCTGCTGCCTTTCAGATGTCACTTCTTATTCCTAATTATAACCTCTCCCTGATCACTATTTAGTATATAACAAACTGGAAAACAAGAAACTGATTCGAGTGTACTCTGTACTCTAATTATATGGCTCTGCATAAGTCATTCTGCTTCATTCTAGAATCAAACTGGTTCCAGACAGTTGAGATCTGGATAACAGATGCCACCAATCCTATAGCAAATCATTTTCTTCTAGTATGTGAATAATCACAGGTTTTAAGGTATTAATTAAATAATTTTATGCCCAAGTCATTAAAAAGCTCAGGGCACCTAAACTGTAAACTATTTGCTATTTTTTTCCACACCTGCAACAACAAAAAATGATGTGCTTCCTAGTTAATAACCTGGAATAATTTACTCAGGCTGGAAAAAAAAAAGGAGACTACAGAACTCTTTATAGTGCTGGTATTCTGCTTTACATTTTAATTACATTATGTTAGGTCATTTCAACATGTTGTTCAAGAGACAGGATTTGATCAATGGTGTAAATAAGCTCGGTTAAATGAGGTCTTCACAGAAAATTCACTGTCAATATTTGACAACTTTGTCCAAATATGATAAAGTTCTTAAAATCTTTAGTTTTAACTATAACATTTAACAGAAACACTCACCCTCCTGTGCCAATGGATCTCTTTTGATGGTTTTTTGAGTCATAATAGCGCTGTAGGATCATAGCACTTCTGCTTTTCAAATATCCAGTCTCCACCTCAATATAGTTCTCCAAATAGGAAATGAAAATGGATTTGATAAGCTTTGACAAGAAAGTCTGTTTATCAGTACCTAAGTTAAACTCCATCAACTTGCTGGAAAGGTTTGTGGTTCTTTTCATGGAAAAGGGAGAAAAAAAGATTAATGTATATTTTAGGTATAGTGACAATACTAAAGAATATGTATTTTTACAATGTGATTTTAATAACTTATGTTAAACCACCATTTCTTAAACCTTGGAAGGCACTTAGGATACAGACAGCAGCTGCATAGGGCTATATATAAAGTAGAAGGGATATTACAAACAACACTGTGGCTTAGAAAACTGACTAGGGATAATCTCCTAGGGATGACTTAGGGGAAGAAACCAAGGCAACCAACCAGTCTAGAAATGGCAACAGCGGCAGAATGACTTCAATATGTTCTAATGCCATTCATGACATGGTACCCCACGTCAGAATACTGAGAGATCTACTTTCTGTTCATTCTCTTTTGTCTTTGTCCATATGGACTTCCCTCGAATTTTCTGTTTTACATTATTAAAGATAGGCTCACAATAAATGTTGCTGGGATGGACTGCCTGATTATGGTCACTTTAGAAAACCGTCCTCTCAAAATGATGACACTGATGAACAACAATAGGACTGGGAAAAAAAACTCCCTAAGCAGCTTCTGATACAATGTTTCCAAATGTTACACTTGTATTTACAAAGCCCAAGGCAAATTTTCATATCAGACTTAAGGCTGAAATTGTCATTTGTTAAGAATTTGTGACTTTCTTGGGCACCTGGGTGGCTCAGTTGGTTAAGCGACTGTCTTTGGCTCAGGTCATGATCCTGGAGTCCCAGGATCGAGTCCCACATCGGGCTCCCTGATCAGCAGGGAGTCTGCTTCTCCCTCTGACCCTCTTCCAGCTCTCTTGCTCTTTATCTCCCATTCTCTCTCTAATAAATAAAATCTTTAAAAAAAAAAGAATTTGTGACTTTCTCAATTTCTAAAGTTTTAACTGCCAGATAAATGTAATTATACTACGTCTTAGAGAAAAAAATTAAATAGTGAACTAGCTTACAATTAAAACCAGAAACAAAATTCTTGAGTCTTAATGTAAAAAAAGTTACATTAAAGTACATGATTATACAGCATAATATCCAATTCCTTAAGTTAACATGCTAAGAATACGGCTCTTTGTACAACAGTAGTCTATATAATCAAGCATTTAATGCTAAAAGGTATACTACTATCTACAAACTGTTACTCAAAAATACCTGAATACTTCATTTCCTATTAAAAAAAAAGGAAAGAAAATCTGAGATGTTACTATTTTCCTATTTTCTAGTAATTAAAAGCATACCTTGTATATAAATCATAGAGATTTTTGAGATACTGCTCTGCATCAGACTTCCTACATTCTTCTAACTGGTCTTTCACAAAACTCTGAAAAAAAAGTCAACATTTTATCAATTAAGTAAATATTAAATTATATATTTTTCTCTAAAATTATTCCATTCTTGAATTGTTCTGATTAAAATACAATGGAAAAGACAATGGATAGAAAATATACCAATATAAAAAAATAAGAAAACAGGTTTTTAATTTTTAATGCTTCTCATATTTACCTGTTTATCTATAGCACTCTTAGGAATAAGTATTAAGAATTTCAAAATTTCTTTTGAAACTGGCCTATCTTGCCTCATAAAGTACATTTAAAAAACAAAACCTGAGGCTATACTGATATAGTCAATTCCTTAAGAAATAGCATTTCCCAAATTGTGGACTGGGTAACCCTAGTGTCCCTTGAGACATTAACAGGCATTACTCTAAAATTTTAGACTCCTGTTTTCAGAGAATCACAATACATATTAGTGCTGTTAAAGGATATTAAGAGTCCTGAATTGTGTTTTAAAAACAAACACTTCTTTAATGTTGCTTTATCCGGTAGTAAACATAGTTTAGGAAATGTTGCTTTAATGTACAGTGTTATGGGAGTCAAGGTTGTAAATCAAATTACTGTGTTTTTTCTTTTCATGTTAGTACATATTATAAAAAATTCTATAGATTGCACTTGTAATTCTTACCCAATTTCACAAATGCCACCTATTGGTCAAAGTGAGGACCCAATAAAATTAAAAATCTGAGGTTTCCCCTCTACAACCTGTTATAACTACTACTGCTGCTGGAATAAATTTCAAATATGCCCTGATGTTACTTAGTGATCATGGTTAGCACCTTTTTTTCTTGATGAACAATATTTTTTACAAAAGCATGATACTGTCATTCCTCTCCCCTTCACTGAATAGATTACTATCCCAAAGGGCATTACATGAATAAACTATATTTTTAAAAAACTTTTAAAACAGAGGAAAAAAAAAATCACATATTGCCTTAAGAACTATTTAGTCATTGTTTAAAATTACCTGTAGTTTGACTTCAAATACATTTTGAATAAGTTTAGCCAATACTGTTTCTGGATTACTAAAGATATCTCCAACTTGTTTGTTCACTCGTTGGCAAAGTATCGCTGCATCTTCAAATATATCATTTCTCAAATAAGCACCCTAAACAGAGGCATTTTACATAGTGAATATGTAATTTTTAAATGGTTTTAAAAACACAAATTAGCATAAAATAAAATAAAATCCAATAAAGTATACTATTATGTTACCTCCTGGCACTGCTTTATATAAACATCAACACAATGGGAATAACCCTACGAAGAAGAAAGAAATACATCATCACAGTTCTAGTTTAACAATAATTATAACAGTAATAATCTCAATAAAAAAGTTCTTATATGTAATAAAGCTATGTCTATGTCCTAATGAATCACCAATAGTAATAGTTATTGGACTTAAATAAAATTAATAGTAGAAAACTAATAATACAGTATCTTCTCCCAGTTGCTTTCTATGAAATTGATCACCTGGTTCGTATCCTTGCAGGACTTTAGAATGAAAGAAGAACACTGAGGTATGAGTTCTGTACAGTCATTTTGCCCTATGATCACCTAGCCATCTCCTTCAACTCTAAACACGTATTTGTGTGCATGCATGCTCCCCCACACACACAGATTCACAATCTTGAAAAGAGGTTTATATATATACATACATAGGTATATGTATATATATATACATGTATACACATGTATGTATTTCCTTCTTTACTCTCTTGAATTTAAAGCATTTGTGTTCCCCTGCAAGAATCTGAACAGAGCTGTACTTAACTAGCATTCTGGAAATTTACTTTTAAAATTCAATCTATTTTAGCAGATCATATTTTAAAAAATAATTTGTCATATTAAGCTCTCTATAATGATTTGTATTCATTAACAAATCATACATAAAAACAAGTAAGCAATGCAAAGTATATAATCGTCTTAGCCATTCTTAACACTCATGCAGATATTTTACTTAAATGAAAAGTCTAAAAAATAACTTCTATTTCCCTACTCAGATACAAATATAAACAGATTTTTTATATATATTTTTGTGTGTATTTATTTTTTCTTTTAGATTTTATTTAAATTAGTTAACATGTATCATATTACTGGTTTCAGCGGTAGAAATTTAATGATTCATCCATCACTTGCATGTAACACCCAGTGCTCATTACAACAAGTGCCCTCCTTAATGCCTTTCGCCCATTTACCCCATCCCCCTCCCCTCCAGCAACCCTGTTTGATCCCTATACTTAAAGAGTTTTTTGGGGTGCCTGGGGGTCAGTCGGTTAAGCATCTGCCTTGAGCTCAAGTCATAATCCCAGGGTCCTGGGATCAAGCCCGATGTTGGGCTCCCTGCTCAATGGGGAACCTGCTTCTCCCTCTCCCTCTGCAGCTCCCTGCTTGTGCGCTCTGTCAAATAAAATCTAAAAAAAAAAAAAAAGTTTCTTACGGTTTGCCTCCCTCTGTTTTTATCTTATTTTTCCTTCCCTTCCCGTGTTCATCTGTTTTGTTCCTTAAATTCCACATGAGTGAAATCATATGGTATTTGTCTTTTTCTGCCTGACTTATTTTGCTTAGCATAACACACTCTAGTTCCATCCACATTACTGCAAATGACAAGATTTCATTCTTTTTGATGGCTGAATAATATTCCATTGTATATACACACCACATCTTTTATCCATTCATCAGTCAATGACATCTGGGCTCTTTCCATATTTTGGCTACTCTGGACATTGTTATCAACCTCAAGGTGCACGTGCCCCTTTGAATCAGTGTTTTTGTATTCTTTGGGTAAATAAATAGTAGGGCAACTGCTCAATTATAGGGTAGTTCTATTTTTAACTTTCTGAGGAACCTCCATACCGTTTCCAGAGTGGCTGTACCCGTGTGCATTCCCACCAACAGTGTCCCTTTCTCCACATCTTCAGCAACACCTGTTGTTTCCTGACTTGTTAATCTTAGCCATTCTAACTGGTGTGAAGCGGTATCTCATTGTGGTTTTGATTTGTATTTCCCTGATGCCCAGTGATGTGGAGCGTTTTTTATGTGTCTGCTAGCCATTTGTATGTTTTCTCCAGAGAAATGTCTGTTCATGTCTTTTGCCCATTTCTTGACTGGATTTTTTGGGGGTTTTTTTGGTATTGAGTTTGATAAGTTCTTTACAGATTTTGGATACTAGCCCTTTATAAAATATGTCATTTGCAAATATCTTCTCCCATTCCATTCATTGCCTTTTAGTTTTGTTGACTGTTTCCTTTGCTATGCAGAAGCTTATCTTGAAGTCCCAATAGTTCATTTTTGTTTTTATTTCCCTTGCCTCTGGAGACATGTTTAATAAGAAGTTGCTGCGTCATAAGTCAAGGAGGTTGCTGCCTATGTTCTCCTCTAGGATTTTGATGGATTCCTGTCTCACATCTAGGTCTTTCATCCATTTTGAATTTTTTTGTGTATGGTGTAAGAAAGTGGTCCAGTTTCATTCTTCTGCATTTTGCTGTCCAATTTTCCCAACATTTGTTGAAGAGACTGTCTTTTTTCCACTGGATATTCTTTCCTGTTTTGTCAAAGATTAGTTGACCACAGAGTTGTAGGTCCATTTCTGGGTTCTCTATTCTGTTCCACTGATCTATGTGTTTTTGTGTCAGTACCCTACTGTCTTGATGATTACAGCTTTGTAATACAGCTTGTGATGCCACCAGCTTTGGTTTTCTTTTTCAACATTCCTTTGGCTATTCGGGGTCTTTTCTGGTTCCATACAAATTTTAGGATTGTTTGTTCCAGCTCTGTGAAAAATGCTGGTGTTATTTTGATAGGGATTGCACTGAATGTGCAGATTGCTTTGGGTAGTACAGACATTTTAACAATGCTTATTCTTCCAAACCATGAGCCTAGAATGTTTTTCCATTTCTTTGTGTCTTCCTCAATTTCTTCCACAAGTGTTCTATAGTTTTCAGAGTACAGATCTTTTAATTCTTTGGTTGGATTGTTCCTAGGTATCTTATGGTTCTAGGTGCAACTGTAAATAGCATCAATTCCTTGACTCCTCTTTTTGCTGCTTCATTATTGGTGTATAGAAAAGCAACAGACTTCTTTGCAGTTTTATTTCCTGTGACATTGCTGAATTTCTGTATCAGCTGTAGCAGTTTTTTGGAGGAGTCTTTTCAGGTTTTCTACAGAGTATCATGTCATCTGCGAAGTGTGAGCCTGACTTCTTCCTTGCTGATTTGGATGCTTTTTTTTGTTGTCTGATTGCAGAGGCTAGGACTTCCAGTACTATGTTCAACAGCAGTGATGAGAGTACACATCCCTGTCGTGTTCCTGACCTTAGGGGAAAAGTTCTCAGTTTTTCCCCATTGAGGATGATAGTAGCTGTGGGTCTTTTATATATGGCCTTTATTATGTTTAGGTATGTTCCATCTATTCCTACTTTCCTGAGTTTTGTCAAGAAAAGATGCTGTATTTTGCCAAATGCTTTTTCTCCATCTACTTAGAAGATCATATGGCTCTTATCCTTTCTTTTATTAATGTGGTGTATCACAATGATTTGCAGATATTGAACCACCCCTACAGCCCAGGAATAAATCCCACTTGGTGGTGGTGAATAATTCTTATAATGGACTATTGGATTCTATTAGCTAGTATCATTCTTGTTGAGAATTTCTACATCCACATTCACCAGGGATATTGGTCTGTAATTCTCCTTTTTAGCAGGGTCTTTGTCTGGTTTTGGGATCAAGGTAATGCTGGCCTCACAGAATAGGTTTGGAAGTCTTCCTTCCATTTTTATTTTTTGGAACAGTTTCAGAAGAATAGCTATTTATTCTTCTTTAAATGTTGGAGAATTCTCCTGGGAAGCCATCTGGCCCTGGACTCATTTGTTGGGAGATTTTTAATTACTGATTCAATTTCTTTGCTGGTGATGGGTCTATTCAGGTTTTCAATTTCTTCGTGTTTTAGTTTTAGTAATTTATATGTTTCTAGGAATTTATCCATTTATTCCAGATTGCCAAATTTGTTGGCATATAATAGCTCATAATATTCTCTTATAATTTGGGTCCTTTCTCTTTTCTTTTTGATAAGTCTGGCTAGGGGTTTATTAATTTTGTTAATTCTTTCAAAGAACCAGCTCCTAGTTTTTTTGATCTGTTCTACTGTATTTTTTTTATTTCTACATCATTTATCTCTGCTCTTATCCTCATTATTTCCCTTCTCCTGTTGGAGTTAGGCTTCATTTGTTCTTTTTTCAACTCCTTTAGGTGTAAAGTTAGGTTGTGTATTTGAGATTTTTCTTGCTTCTTGAGGAAGGCCTGTATAGCTATATACTTCCCTCCTAGTACCAGCTTTGCTGCATCCCAAAGGTTTTGGACTGTCATGTTTTCATTTTCATTTGCTTCCATGTATTTTTTTAATTCTTCTATTTCCTGGTTGACCCATTCATTCTTTAGTAGGATGTTCTTTACCTTCCATGTATTTGTTTTCTTGTGGTTGGCTTTGGTTTCATAGCATTGTGGTCTGAAACTAAGCAAATACTATTTCTTTAAGCACCTTCTTTGTAGAAATACAATGCCATACAGGGATTCTTTCCCTAACTGAAATTCCAAGAAGACAATATTCCTTTGTATTACCACCTGAGATCCTCTGATTTTAATTTAAATCTTTTACTAGTTACATTCCATCTACTCTCTGGTTCCTACATCCTACCAGATATTTAAGGCTAAATCTTCTTGCTTATGACCTATTTCATAACATGTTTGACTGAAAAAATAATTAAAAAAACAAGAAGATAGTATGATTTTTCTATGTCAACCTATATAAAAATTAACTGATAAAATATTAATATTTATTGAATATAAAATATTAAATACCTAAAATTTAACATTTATGGAGATGTGAAATGTATATTCAAATTGTTCAAAACAATAAAAATTATCACTGTGATACTGTCACAAAACTATAATAAAATCAGAGACGATAGTATATAGAATTTATATAATCTCCACCATCTTGAAAACTAAACTTCGTTTTTATTAATTACTATTTACCTTAAAATGAAGCAAAACTGCTGCTACTTCTCTCATTCTGGAGATTTCACCTCTTCTTTGAGCACTAGTAAACTCCTGAATCAGTTGGCATTCTAAATCATGATATTTACCTAAACATAAAACGAAAGTCATTCATCTACAATGAGACATTCAAGGTATCCAAGTTATTTACAAACATATGAATTATTTACAAATATAATGACTATGGATCTAGCTTTCTTTTTAAAGACTTAAAAATACAATATTAGATTATAGGCAGTGAATCTAGCCCTTATAATACACTATGATATATAAATCTATATTTTCAAGAGAAGAAAATCTTCCCAGCCAGTAAAACAGCTGAACCCCCGTGGTCTGATTACCATTTACACCACTGTTACTTAAAAAAGCAGATGACTGAGATAAACTTCTAGATGTCATTTCTGATAGAGATACGAAAAAATCTTAAACCTAAAGCTACAGAAAGGGTGAAGGGGACTATAAAACTCCTTACTAGAGATCAGATTTCTTTACCATGAACAATGGTGGATTCAACACCAAATCTCACCTTAAGATAATCTATGGTGTCCGATTCACTACATTATTGAGGCTACTAATGTTCTGAATGAAAACCTGACTTTGGACTAATCTATAGTAATCAGAAACAGTGCCAGGAAGTCCAACTATCTATGTCATCATGATGTAACACTTCTGGGAAAACAGGTAGCTCTTTGAACTTTCTATGCAGTGGCATCCCAAACATGACTCAGGTTACCATGGGGGCTGCCTGCAAATATAGCAGCTTTTCCAGAGGCCTAGACTGACCTATTTAAAATATAATCCAAAGATTGGAAAGAATAAAACTAATCATGTAAGGAGTCATATAGGTACCAAAATGCTCATATGAGCTTGGCTTTTAAGAAAAAGAACCTATTTTAGAGATACATGTATGGATATAAAACAATCTCCAAGATGTATTGTTAAATTAAAAACACATGGTATATGCTAGCCAATTATTTTAAAATAACTGAGGACAGTAAAACTAAATTCTCTCTATATATATAGATACATATATAGATATGTGTGTGTGTGTGTGTGTGATTTATGTCCTATGCTTATATATCCATAGCATACTCTAGAAGAATACCCAAGAAATTGGTAATGACTGTTTCAAGGAAGAGGAATCAAACTCAGGGATGGGGTGGGAGGATGACATTGTTCCCACTATCTCTCCTTTTACTATTTTTTTTCTTTTATGCAAGTATTTTTGTCATCTATTCAAAACTAATACTATTTTAAATACTTTAAATACTATTAAAAACTTACTTGCAATTTTGGATTTTACTTCTGAAAACCTGAAAGATAAGAATTAATGATAAGATTCATTAGTAGTGACAAATGTACCATAGTAATCTAAGATGCTCATAAAAGGGGAAAAAGAGTCTGGGGGGTATAAGGGAACTCTTTGTACTAAAGGTCATCATAAGGAAGGAAGGAAGGAAGGGAGGAAGGGAGGGAGGAAGGGAGGGAGGGAGGGAGGGAGGGAGGGAGGAAGGAAGGGAGGGAGGGAGGGAGGGAGGGAAGAAAAAAAAAGAAAGAGAAGGAAAGAAAGGAAGAAAGCAAGCCAGCCAGAAGGGAAAGAGTACTGACAATAAGCAGCCCAGGTAACAAAACTGAATTTGGACAATTCAGATGGGGTAGCTGGTTTTCATTTATGAAATTCACATTGACTAACCAGTAACTTCTTAAAGAGGGAGAAGTTCTATATGAGGCATCGACAACTCCACCAGCCCCAACACTGAGCTGTTGTCTCAACACATATTCACTAACATTTTAAATTCCTTGATATTTGTCTATTTGCCCCTTCTGTTGGGATTTTTTCATATAAAATTCCATTATTGTTATTTAAAAGAAAAACAATGATAAAGTAAGTATATGAAAAATAAAAGAGAAGTCATAAAAAGGACCCAGCAACATGTCTTACAGACTAATCATTCAATCTTTGCAAATTCAGAAACTATCACTTACTACCATACACTAGAAATTTTTTTAAAATCTTAAATATCAAGAGAGAAAGTACATCATGGAAAATTAATGTTGAGAGATCCTATGCAATCAGTTTGGAGAGAGGAAGGTGGCTGGCAAAAGAGATGGCATAGACAGATAAAGTAATAAAAACTTAAGAGAGTTATACAAAATTGATGTATCAAAGTCATGGTGGATTAGAGAGTGCATGTAAGGCCATACGATCTTTCTGAAAAAATTAAATCTAATTAGGATATATATTCAATTCCAAGGCTCAGTAGAGAGGCTAAAACAAAACTGTAAGAGATGTATGTAACTGAGAAGTGAAAGAAGATACGTATAGGTAGAATAGGATGGAGAGATTATCCAATAATCATCAAGCACCTATTGTGAGCCACACATTTTACCCACTTAAGTAAATGGTCCAACTCTGAAATGAGATAGAGAGAGGTTTCTCTGGTGACTTTCAAAATCATTACTCATGAAGCGCCTGGCTGGCTCAGTCAGTATGGCATGAAGCTCTTGATCTCTGGGTTGTGAGTTCAAGCCCCATGTTGGGTGTAGAGATTACTTAAATAAACTTTAAAAATCAATCAATCAATCAATCAATCAAGGAGATGGGTATGATAGTTCTTGGTGAGGATAAAGCAATATACTAAAATATTTATATTTTGAAGATCCCATTTCTTTTCTAATTTATTTCAAGGTATATATATATATATATATATATATATATATATATATATATATATTTTTTAAAGATTTTATTTATTTATTTGAGACAGAGTGAGCAGGAAAGGAGCAGAGGGAGAAGCAGACTCCCTGCCAAGCAGGGAGCCTGACATGGGCTCAATCCTGGGACCCTGGGATCATGACCTGAGCCGAAGGCAGACACTTAACTGACTGAGCCACCCAGGCGCCCCTCAAAGTATATTTTAACACAAATTATGAGCTAAATCTCTTCAATAAATTGTAGGAATATAACAAAAGATTTTTTCCCATTTAACTATGTTTTCATGACTTAATGCTTCTTTATAAAACATATGAGAATATCTTTCTGACCCTAGTAAAATACTATTTTAATAAATAAAACAGAACTATTCATTTAAAAAATCATGACTCATAGTGCTGGGAAAATATGAGATTATTATTAGCAACAGCTAAATGACATGGCCATCACTGCTAATCCTATATGATGATACAGAGTTGGGATAAAATAAGACATATTTTGGGGGTAGGGATACAAAGCTTTGTATCACAAGCTTTAAGTATAGCAATACATTTATATTCTACCTGTACCCAAGGATCCCCAAGTACTGCCAAAAGTAATAACAGATACATTGTCTGTTACATGAAGACTTATTTTTTTTCACACATTCATATGAGGAAGCTACTACTACCAAGATTTTATTAAAAAGTCTGACATTCTATGGACTAAAGGAAATCATGAAAAAAAATCTCCTTCTCCATAAAGTTTCTTTTAAAATGAAACCATTAATACCTGACTTAGCAATGGCCCTACGGCCTTGCATCTAAAGCAAGGTTTCTTAACCTGATATCCCTAGGAAGGAGTCTGTGGATAGGCTAAGAGTCTAAAATTCCATGAAGTTGCAAATAATAATCTGTGTGTATCTGAGTTATTTGAAGAAACTTTACAGCTTTCATCAGCTTTTCAAAGGTGTCTAAAACACCAGAAGTTTAAGAATTCTCATCTAGATATAAGAAAAAACAGCTGAATAACTCCATGTTTAATTTTCCCTGTCCTCTCCCACCTAGGTTATCAAAGTCCAAAAAATGAAAATTCAATATATCACGTTAGTAAATTACAAAATTCTCCTTCAGCAATTTCTTTTCAGAAGAAAGATAAAGGACTGAAAGTATTTCAAGGTATATCATTCAATGTAGGTATTAAGAGACCATATTTTTTCAATTAACTATTATATACTATGCGTTGTACAAAGGGGGTACTCAAAAAATTCTTGTTGAATAAGCAAAACCATACAGGGAAAAATACAACTTTATCTATAAATTATAACACATATCCAAATTAGGTCTTGAGAAATAAACTTGCCTGTCAAAAGGTAACTCCTGGGCAATTAGGTGCAACTTCTGAATGATGTCTGCTGCCTCCTTTATCTATTCAAAAAAAATTGAAAGCAATAATTTAAAAAAAAGTCCTTATGTATATCAAAAATATTTTTATACTTGAAAATAGCCCATAGACCCTCACTCTAACAATTTTCTTTTAAAATCCACAAAAATAAAACCTTTCAAGCAACAGAAAGACATGTGGGATATCACTAATAATGAGTCAATAAAACATAAACATTTGTCTTTCTGGTATTGAAATTTTGTGGTTTTATAATACCACAGTTCCTTCCCAATGAAACCTGCAGTTCAAATTTACTTGGAAAAAATTCAAGTCATTGCTTGCTGAAAAGTAGGAGTGTCTCTTCTGGTTTATGCACCCAAAAAAGATAAATAAGATATATGAAAATAATTCAGATTATATTGCTGCATATATCTCACTTTAAGCTAAATGCATAAAACAATAAAAACACCTGTCATTTAATATTTATAAAACTTGTTCTAAAAGCAAAGATAGAATTTAATATGAAGTCTCCTGAATGAAATATGGTACAAAAACGTGTGTACTTAAGTTGTAAAACTAAAGGACTAAGGTCAAGGGTCTAAAGTTCTTAAAATGCAAATATGTGACTGCTTACTAATGTGTAGGGGAGTTACATAATATTCACTTTCTTTAAATGTCACATAAGTACTGAGATTTATTTTGGCACACTTTAGTAATGGATTTTACGATACTCACTTTCTTTTACCTAAAAAATAAAGAGACTCTTAAAAACATGAAGGAAGAGCTAAAAACATTACTATAGCTCTTCCTAACTATGTACTCATGTGAAGTCTGGCAAGCAACAGTGGGTAACAGCAGGGCCAAATAAAGGATATCACTGTTGTCAAACAATAGTGAATTTAGCATTTCGGTTTCCGTTATCTCTTCTCTCCTTAGTCATGTCACTGTCATTTTCAGTTATCACTCACTCAATCCTGCTGCACATGGGTACAGGTACTATCACTTTTCACCATGCCATTTAGTTGGACTGGCAATATCCATCCTTTTCTCTCACCAATACCCCCTTCAGAAAAGACCTGCCTGGTCCACAGCCAGTTCTGTTTCCATCAGGAATGTGTTCTTATCTTTTAAGAGATGGAAGGCCCCATTGTATGCTGTTTGCAAACTTTGCTTAAATGTAGTGGAAATATAGTAACAAATAACACTGATTTTACTGAATTTCTATAGGTAATTATTTTGTAAAAATCATTTAAAGCACAACAGTTCCTCCGGTCATCCATCAGTTAAAATGTACTATAACATTAAGTACAGAGGTTGTCAAATCACAATCTAATCTATTTTGCTTACATGTAGAGTGAAGTGAGAGACCGCCCATGCTAACAGTGTTAAAGATAATCAGAGTCATCAGGCATTATCTACATGAAGCACAATAAGGTGTGATTCTAGGGACAAAAACAACTAACATATTTTGTAAGAACAGAGGTAAGAGGAAATATATAATATGGACATAAAATAGGTCTTTTTTAGGGAAGAAAATTAGAAGATTCTGAAAAACAAAAATTAAAAAAACAAAAATGACTATGGAGCAGGAAGATGTGTGGATATCTTATCCCATTTCAATTCCTTCCACAATCATACACTTCCCTAGCTACTATGTGGGTGATCTGGCTCTTCTTTCCTTTGGGAAGGTAGAAATTGAGATAGTCAGAAGTTTATTTGATAATTAGCAATCTAATACCATATATGAGTTCCTAAGTGTAATTAACTGCGATAGTATCAAGCCAAAAATAATGATTGACTATTAGCAAACAGTAACCCAAAACTTATGGAAGACATGAGAGAAAAACAAGACGATTGGGGAGAAAAAAGGAATAAAATATAAGAGAAAGGGAACACAGGGCACCTAGGTGGCTAAGTCTGTTGCATGTCCGACTTGGTTTTGGCTCAGATATGATCTCAGGGTCATCAGATCGAGCTCCTCACTCTGCGCACAGCAGGGAGTCTGCTTGAGATTCTCTCCTTCTCCCTCTGCCCCTTCCCCCCAACATGTGCACACACTCTCTCTCTCTCCCCCAAACAACTAAATCTTAAAAAAACAAAGGAACACAAAATGAAAGAAAATGGAATATAGAAGAGAGTGAAGCAAAGAAGGGGAATTCACTTAAAAGCTGGTAGTCTATATTTGCACCTCAAAAATTAGCTAAGTGACCAAGTGAATGAACTAGCAATATGAAGACTTTTTCTTTCAATTAAAACCTCAACACTTAGGAGGTAACAATAATAACAAGAACTATACAACTACCTGAGGATAATTGAAATGTTTAAAAAAAGTGTAAAGAACTTAATTTCATGATATAAAATATTGCAAGCAATAAAAAATCAGATTAAAAATATGTATGATCAGTTATATTTTCTTTCCCTAGATCCTAAATGGCTGCCTTGAGCTGCATTCAAATAAACAGGACAACCCACATTGGATATGATATCTCCATTTGGTTTATAACAGCATAAATAGATTACATAATCCTACAGGTATAATCCAAGGTAATCCAAGTTATAAATTTTAAATTATATAATTTTTCATATTCAAAACATATTTATAATATGCATATATACTTTTATATTATAAATATATGTTTATAGTTAGTAAACATAAAAACTATCCTGAAACAGTTCATTGTTCAAGCATTGGGCTGTGTGTCTGTATGTACATTTACTCTTATGCTTAAAAAAAATCACATAAATCTAATAAAAGCTAGATATTGCCACTGTTTAACAAGTGTTTAAGTATGATAATGTTAATCATGTCAATTCAACTTTGTAATATAAATATAACTGCTTAAACTCATTATTTAAAATACTGTCTTTTCCTTAGAGGAATTATGTATATGTAACTGTTTTTTCAAAGTTCTCTAAAAATTATAAATTCTATAAGCCTATACAGTTCCCACTCACAAAAATGTGCTGCTTAATTCAATGTAAACTTCAACAATACATAACTTTTAACTTTCCACTATCAAAAATATTCCATGGAGTAAACTAGGAATAATTCAGGGAAACTGTATTCATATATTAGTGGACAATGTTACCATATGCATACACTACCTATAAGAATGTCTATTTTTTTGTGCATTTTGATTTTTTCCCCCCCTGGGAGGAAGAAAGTCAGCTAAATAACCTCCTTTCAAGATTGCAGAACAGCCAATACCATGTACCAGTATTAAGTGACTAGTGCAAAGAAAAGGATTAACATAAACAATTCAGATTTTTCAATTCTCTTTAGTCCAAACTATGTTTGAATTCTTTATAAGCGTTCTTTTTCAAGTAATAGAAATTAGAAGCTCTGAACTCCTTGTGCAGAAAGATACTTCTGCCTATCAGTGATTTAGGTCAGACTACATTCTCACCCAATGGAATATAACTATTAAATTCTGTTAATATTAAAAGTCAACAATGGAAGAGAAATACTTATTAACACAGTTACCTCAGCATTTTCACATATAATTTTATAAACAAAAATTCCAGACAATCCTGCAATTAAAAATCTTCAGTAATCTGCAGGCAAGTATACTAAACACACTTCAGAACAATAAAAAGTTTTAATAAGTCAGCTACTCAGTGATGTGAAAGTAGTAACTGGAAAGTAATAAATGTAGTTCATAATTTGGGCATTGTTATTAATGATGCAGGTGCTTTTATCCTGCTGACAGTACTCACCTTTTCAGAATTTGTAAAAACGTCAGATTTCAATTCTCCATCTAGAAACTCATTAAAGTATTTCATCAATTTCTGAGCCTCTACTGCCCGCTGTCTAGGTGTGTTTACCCCTTCCAACTGGTCTCCAAGGTGACAGACCTTGGTTGCTACGTAGCTGATGTGCTCATCTAGTTCTTGGAAATGTTGGAAGGCAACCTGGGAAAAATGCGCATAAGCATAAAATGCAATCAGAGGAACCCAGTTTATAAGTGAATTCGTACCAAAACTAGACCACCAATCTCATCTCTACTCTCTAACTTAGGTAACTAAAGATAAAATAGAAGTTATATGTGAGCTAAACTACAGAAACAATTTATGCCCATTAGCAGTGCATGATCTGAAAACTTTCTAACAAAGTCGCACACCTTTAACTATTAAAGTAACATTTTATCATGAACATTTGTTAAGCAATTAAATAGTATCCTGTTTAACAATATTCCCAGTATAATTTAGTCCTAAACAATGATTCTAAAATCAATGAACTAAGTATCAAATAGTTATACTACAGTTTTCACAGGGGTATATACCCCATGACTTCTGTAAAACTTCCCAGATTAGGGAAAAATCTGATCCAGGCAACAGCTGTTCTGGTATTACTCTGTTTTATGCTTAATGAGAATACAAATGACTACTTAACTATCCAAGCTAATCATGAGTCCCTAAAAATGCAGGTCTGCTACAGTGTCATTCTTCAAAGTTTGCACCGTGACTATACTGGATACCACTCCAACCTAAGAAGGGAGTGCTGTGATCCCAAACCACTGATCAGCAGCAAGTGATAACAATTCACTGACATTTTTCCCCAGGGATGGGAACAGTTGAGAGAAACCTCAACAGTTACTATTATTTGACTAGAGTTTTTTAAGAACTTAATAGTGGAAGGAAATGAAGATAACCTGTGTAAACTACTGATAGCTTAACTGCTTACCTGATTGCTTTTCTGGAGCTCTTGTACCTTCTTGGCAAATTCCTTGGCTTCTTTCTGACACTGTTGCTCTAGTTTCTCTACTTTCCTTTGAATCCTTTCATCCATTATCTGTAGTTCCTGAATATGATTTACAAATTCTTCTAATAACCTAAGAGAGGAAAATCAGAATATGTATCAATCCATCTATGATTAATCATTAGGAACTGGCGAGTTCACTTGTAATAAAGTATCAATAAGCATTCCTTAAGGTAGGGATGATTATGTTAATTTTCTCGAGAGCATTTTAGGGATTATCTTTGACATGAAGGAAAACCTCACCCAGAATATCTACTACCTTCCAGAATAGAAATCAATCTCATAGAAAATAGTCAAAAAGATAAAAATATATATTTTTAATATATATGATATAAAAAGTTGATACAATATATAAAAATAACAGTGTGCATTCCAGGGAACAGTGACTTTCTGTTCCTTTGAGTTACAACTATACTTAAAACAACATATTCAACATGTTTTTATTTTAGAGATATAACCAACCTTTTCTAATATATTACTAATTGGAGAAAACATTAAATTCTTATAATACAATAAAATCCCCTCACACCAGTTAAAATCCTCTAAAATAAAAGAAATATAAAAGAAAATAAACCCCAGGTTGTAAAAGGGTTTTGGAAGGAATTTCAATAGTCACCTTTATTCCAAACACAAATTTGTTTTAGATTGGATCTATGGGGAAAAAAACATTTTTACTTCACCTTTTGGGATCAAAAGCTTCAGGACCCCCTCTAGAGCCTCCTCCTGGGGTTCTCCACACAAGTCGTTCAATATACTCATCTGCCACAAAAGGCTCCTAGTTTACAAAATAAATGTTCTTTAAAAAAGCTTCATAGAAGATATCTTAATGTTACTTGCAAAAATGAAGCAGGTTTTACTATGTGAGAGCTTAAAATGGAATTAAATTACCATTTAAACACATTAATATTATTAAAATATGCAAGGCTTAATTTTAAAAAATCAACAAATAATAAAAATTAGGACATTAAAATATTAGAACAGTATTATGACTAGTTAGAACATCCCAATGAGAAAATGAGCAAAGGACACAATTTATAGAAGACATACAAGAAAGAGAAAACATATGTGGCCTCGTTAACAATCAAATAAGGTCAAATTATCACTTTTTTTTTAACCTCGAACACACTGACGAAGTGGTTTTTTGGTAATTATAATATGCAATACAGGAGAGGGTAAACTGAAATTCAGACACTCGTTTTTGTTAGAAATGTTAACAGGTACAGTATTTTTGGAGGACAACAGGCAATAATTTGATAACATAAACAATATTACGAATGCTCATACCCTTTAACCGAGTAATTCTACTTTTTTTTTTTTAAGATTTTATTTATTTATTTGACAGAGAGAGACACAGCGAGAGAGGGAACGCAAGCAGGGGGAGTGGGAGAGGGAGAAGCAGGCTTCCTGTGGAGCAGGGAGCCCGATGCAGGGCTCGATCCCAGGACCCCGGGATCATGACCTGAGCTGAAGGCAGACGCTTAATGACTGAGCCACCCAGGCACCCCAGTACTTCTACTTCTAAAATTCTACGGGAAAAGGAGATATGAACACAATTTTTGCAGAATGTTCACTGAGTATTATGTATGATATCTAAAAATTGTTTACATAAATATTCAACAAAATAATTATTGAAAAATTATGACAAACTTACAGGATGAAAAACTACATCCTTATTAAAATCATGCTGAAAAAATTAAATGCAATGAGAAAAAATGTTCACAAAAAAGCAGGATACAATTTTCTAAATTTTCTCAGGAAAAAAAGCATTAATTATGAAAAAAAGAATATTAGAGTAGAAGACCCAATCAAGAAACTAAACATTCAAATATTCACCATTAGCTGACAATGAATTTTTTAGACTAATACATACTAATTTACATATTTTTCATACTACCTTCTTTCATGCAAATGCGTATCATATATTGCCTCCCACTTAGCATATAACTTAAACTAATAGCATTTGCTGGTGATTCCAGTTTGAATTCTCATATCTACAAAATTTTCCATTTGTTAATCATATTTTAAAAACATTTTCATTGATAAACATTCACTGAACAATAAAATTTCCAGTGCCAAGCACTCCGTTAGGCTTTGGAATAAAAAGATATATTAAAAAACTGTAACCTCAAGAAACTCACAGCCTAATAGGGGAAAAATTATAAATAAAGAATGCAATCGTATATGACAAGTAAAATTAAGAATGTGTGCAAACTTTAATATTAATACTGCCAAGTTGTTACCTCAACAGGTAGCTGGGCAACAGAAATGCGGTACTTACTAATTCAGCAAATTTTGCTGAGCAACTGCTATGTGCTGGGCATTGTGGTAGGCACTGAGAATATAGATGTTAATTCAATAGACAGGGTTCCTGCAAGGCCTCATAGAAATGATCTTCTAGGTAAGGATGTCAACATTAAACAAGTACAGACATAACTAGTTAACAACTGTGATAAATGTAAAGCGAAAGAAAAGTCCTGGATCTAAGACTATACAACAGGAACAGACATGATGGGAAGACAGACTGGCAAGAAGTAGGCATTACATCAGGCAAACTCTCTGAGGACCCAACACTTAAACTGAGACTAGAATAAAGAAAAATCAGCCAGACAATAATGGAACAAATATTTTTCCTGACCATTAGGGAAAGAGTAGATAGAACTTAACCTATTAGGGGAACTGAGCAGATGGACTAGATGACAAGGACCACATCTGGAGGAACATGAGAGGTGACAATTAAGGCCAACAGATAATAATCTTGTTCTTTTTTATCATCAGCACCACCACCACTACCACCACCACCACCACCACCACCACACTGGTACTTGAGAGAATCGTTCACCAGTCTGATGTGAGAGGAGGAATGAAAGGATGAGTTTCAGTCAGACTAAGAAAAACCATCATGATAAGAACAGGAATATGTACCAACAAGAATAACATCTCACATAAACTCTTTACATGTATTACCTCATTTACTACTCTCTTCCTAAGACCTGTAAGGAAGGTCCTATTTTACCCGCACTTTACAATGAGGAAACAAAGGTTAAGAGAGGTTAATTACTTAACCAAGGTAACACGAGCTGAGCTGAGATTTAAATCATTCTGTTCTATTGCTATGTAAAACTGAATGGCAACTATGGGAAACTACAAGTAGTTCCTTGTACCTAAAGTTAGATGGTAAGGATAATAGGTGAAGCTAAAAAGGTAAAAATTGCTACACGAAGGCATATGCACATCACTGATCATGTCTTTTAAAATTTCTACTTATATTTATAAACATTCTAATTAAATGACCAATAATTTTATTAGACAACTGATACACTGTCACATGCCTATCTGTAGACAGAATCCAATATCAACTTTCAAACTGGTTCATATTTTATAAGAAAACCATATAACCTTTATGACTATTAATATCACTAATTATTAAAAGAAAAAAGTAAACATCAAGCAGTAACACAAAACAATATAAATAGGTATTAAAAAATTTTAAAGATTTTACATTTTACCTATAAAAGTCTCTTTTATAGTAGTCAAATAACTGAAAAATAGCAGTCATATTAATCCAGTTTCTCTAAGATTTCCATTATAGGAAAGCTATCTGATAAGATGAAGGCATAGAAAGTAAACAAGACTGTTAGCTACTTTAAAGAAAAAAGTCAGTTTATCCATGTGCTAACATGTTTGAGAATTAAGTCCTAAGGATAATTTAGATATCCTGCAAAGGAAAAATACTGGCCCTCTGAAATATAATTAACTCATTTAGCAAACATATTGTCATTTAAATAATCATCTCTTCTCTAATTCATTTCTGTTGAAACAAAAGTTTATGTATGTCTAACAATTCTTAATTTATATATATAAATTGGGAAACATTGACTCAAGATAAAGGAATTTATGTTTAGAGCTACTTAGAACTTCAGAAACTGAGCTACTCAGAAACTTAAAATCTGACAAGCATATGAAATACTCCTAAATAATGATGAAATGTTGACAAAAGCTAATTTTTATCTTTACATACTTAATCTCATTTAATACTTACAAGTCTATGAGGTAGGTTTTATCAATATTGATTCATTTCCTATACAATTGTGTGATACAAAAAGGTTATTTAATCCAAGGTCACACAGATTCATCTGATTTCTGAGGTCCAAATTTTCACTTCTGGTAAAATCCAGAGCTTTTTCTTTGAAAGAGGCTAGGGGCGCCTGAGTGGCTCAGTCGTTGGGTGTCTGCCTTCGCTCGGGTCATGGTCCCAGGGTTCTGGGATTGAGCCCCGCATCAGGCTCCCTGCTCGGCAGGAGGCCTGCTTCTCCCTCTCCCACTCCCCCTGCTTGTGTTCCCTCTCTCTCTTTCTCTGTCAAATAAATAAATAAAATCTTTAAAAAAAAAAGAGGCTAAATTTAGGAAATAGTCAGCTCTTCCAAAGTCCACAATACTCCCATAAATGACTTTACATAGTAATCATGTTCCTTTTCCCTGTCATTTTTTACACATGCATACCTATGTAAATACTTAATAATCATAGTTCTCATGTGTTATTAATTTCATTTATTATTCAGTAGTTGCAATTTTCAACTAAATTTCATTGAAATTTACACTGTTCATTAATTTCCATATACCAGTTTTACTAAATGATGTATGTCCAAAAATTTATACATCAACACAGATATTACTGACATGGTAAAAAATAAGCATTTTTTTATATGAAATATTTCAATTTTCTCAAAATACAATATTCCTTCATTCAACAAATATTCATGGAGAGCCTACTACATGTTACTGACTATTCTACAAAAGTCAGTAAACAAGGCAAGAGAAAAATCTCTGCCCCTATGGATGTCATGACAGGGAGTGACAAATGAACGGATACATGATAAATAAGAACTATGAAGAAAACTAAAGAGGATACAGAGTGATGGATTAAAGTATTTATTTTGGTAGAAGTGATCAGGCACGGCCTCTCTAAAAAAATATATTTTGAACAAACACCTGAACACAGCTAAGGCATAAGCCACGTAGGAAAGCAATGCTCCAAGTACAGAAAACAAACTTAGTATGTGAGCAATGACAAGAGGCCAGTGTGCCTAGAGCAAAGGAGAGAATAATTGTAGATGAGGTACAAAAGAGGTAGTGAGAGTCCAGAGCTTGTATCAAGGACCTGTAGGATGTACTACGATATACTTCCAGCTATTTAGTGAAGAAAAGGCCAGGTTCCTGAAAGGAAGGACTCTGCAATATGCTAGCAAATATATGCAGTAATGACTCTACAATTTCTTCCCCCGCCAAAAGAGCTATGACCATTTACTTGAGTAACTGTGCACTAGGGAAAGGGGAACACTCAAACATTTTGAGGTCTGTTACATACAAGGTCCCAGGTGATACTGATACTTGATTGACTCCAAGTATCATGGATTCAAGAGAGTGAGGACATATGGGAACCAAGTAATAAACCAGATTCCTAGCCAAGATCCAATGGAGCCATCAGCCCAACTACTGGCCATTTCCCCAGTCTGCAAACATGTAACAGTGACAGACACACTTGATGGCAGATGTAACTCCCACATTGGGTCCTTGGTCTATAGAGTAAGAGCTTTTATAGTGGGGAAGTCCAAGAAGTCTCTGAAATTGCCTCTACTCAATGTAGTAAATCAAGTGGAATGGCAAAACTTAGTGCCAACTCTTAAAGCTCTAAAATAAGGATCAGCAGTTTTTTTCTTAAGGAGCCAGACAATAAGTATTTCAGGCCTATAAGCCATATAGTCTTTTTTACAACCA